CGAAAAAGTAAATCAGCAGAAATACTCAGAATTCGATGCTGATTCCAAATATGTAAGTTTTATTATGATTTGGTTTGGTCGGGATGATCGGCTTATCGGCCCTCCTCCTTTTTTTTCTGGATTGTTTTCTGTTAATACTATAATACAAACAAAAAGAGCAGAAACAGTGACGCACTCACACTTCTATAGGAGAGTTACGCGGTTCAGCCATGATTCACATCATGAATGAATTATAACAAACGTCGTACACCCTTTAAAAAAATTGCACTGAGCATGACACGCAGTATAAAATACTCAGTTTAGCTCGATTTTGGCGTTTTAAATTGTCTGTGGTTATTAATCATCGCCTGTGCAGATAACGCTAACTCTATAAAAAAAGAAAAAGGATAGAATTCACCTTTATCTTGCAAAGATGTAAAATAAATATTTCTTTTTATATCGGTTCGATTCAACCAGCACTTTTTTTTTTATTTATACTGAATTGGACAAGAATAAAGCAAAAAAAAAAAAATGCAGCGAATATTTTATAGTTTTTTAAATTTTTTGTCGATCATATGAATAAAAAAAAAAGTGTATATATTTTAATATTCTCTTTTTTACTGGAGAGTAGGAGAAAAAAAAGCTTAATAAATGAATTTATCACGATAATACAGAGCAACTACACCTTTGAGTAAGGTGGAATCGTACGAAGTTTTTATTATATTGCCACTAATTTACTCTGTTTCTTTACATATTCAATAGTCAGTATTATTCACTACCTATACATATTTTTTCTGCAATTATATACTTTTCTCTTCCATTTGATTACATCGTGCAGGATGAAATAGAGCGTTGTACACATAATCGTTTGGATATATAAGTTACAGATCAGAAGAAGTAACACTCGTCTAATTTCACTTTTGACAATATTAAATAACTGTATCGTAATCGATCCTTGCATATCGTCCAGAAACTTTTTAAGATAAAGATACATAATAATCTAATAATGTCATCAACTGTTAAATTTTATTTATTTAAAATTATATTTTTTATCATAATACTATCAGCTGGAAGTGAATTAAATAGAAATTATCGTCGTGAAAAAATGTTACGTCGATTATTGAGTTCAATTAAAGATAAATTCAAAGAAATTGCTGAAGAGAAATTTGGTGTTGATTTTAGACGATTTGATAAAGAAGATATGTTGTTATTTCCTGATATTGGCTTTCAATCACAAATAAATAGTGATAATTGGAATTTAGTTTGTCATGGTTGGAGATATGAAGGTTCAAAACGAAATAAATTTTTAGGTTTATCAATAAGTTCAATTGGTGAAGCAATAGCTTATCTTGTATCTAATGCTGAACAAATTCTTTATTTGAATGATACAATCCAACGTGATAGAATAAAACCATTTTTAGTTGAAGATGAATCACACGAAGTTATTAAAATTAATATCGGAAAATCTTCACATATAGCAAGGACAGATAACGAGGGTCAATTTCGATTAGATTTAACCTATTCGAATGATGATGTCAATCAACTTAAGAAAGATGATATCATTTCATATACAGCAATTGGTGATAATGGGGACTCGCAAGAAGGTGTTATACGTCTAATTGAACGAAATGGTTTGTCTATAATTTCTGATATTGATGACACAATCAAAATTAGTGAAGTGTTAGATAAAATACGTTTGATAGCAAACACATTCATTCATCCATTCAAACCGGTACTAGGTATGTACATGGTACGAAACTTCTAAAAACATTGTTGGTTTCGACTGATAATTTTTTTCTTTCTTTAAACAACTAGTAGTAAATTCAGTAACTTTTAAAATCTTCCCACAACCTTAATATTGACTTTTATCCTTAACCGTGATATCTAAAACACATCTTATAAGTGACATGAACAGTTTTGTTTGCTATTTTTGACAAAATGTTTCGAATTGAATTTAGGAATTTGACAGATTCACACACTCACATAACACCTGATCAACTCGGCTCAAATTACTTTTTGGATGTGTTTCAGCTATCAGAGTAAAGGATAAAAGTCAACAATGAATATTATTAGATAACTTTGAAGCTAACTGTATGTGTAGAAAAAGCGTATTATGTCTTATGTAGGTATGGCTGACTTGTATCAACAATGGAAAACTCGATACAATTGTTCATTTCATTATTTGAGTGCTATGCCGGATCAGTTGTATATATTAACTCAAGAATTTATTAATAATAACAATTTTCCAAACGGATCTTTTCATATGAGGTAAGTGGCACAACTGCATTTCCTAATTGAACCCAATAACTTAATCTCTTTATACGGAATCATGGTTTCCTTTCACACAAAAGAAAGGGATTAGCAGTGAGTACCTGTGTCGCAACGAATGGATCCTATATGATATACTGCATAAAATACACTGGCGTTTATCAATTAAGAAGTATAACTCCTAATGGCTTTTTTTCTTTTATATATTTCAGACATTTTCATTGGGCATCTAAATCAATCTTCAATTTTGTTCATTCTCAAAGTACATTCAATCATAAATTAACCTATTTACGTTACTTTTTATCGAATACGTTGCGTCAATTCATTCTAGTCGGTGATTCGGGCGAAAAAGATCCCGAAGTATATGGTGTGATTACTCGTGAGTATCCAGAAAGAATTCGTGCTATATTTATTCGACAAGTTAGCGGGTCGTTAGCATCTGAAGAACGATTTTCAGCAGCATTCGAAAATATACCAAAAGCAAAATGGATGGTCTTCGACGATCCTAAACAAGTGCCAATCGATCTCATCATACCACCACGAGCTTAATAATAGAGGCACTAATTTACTAACCAAAACACTCAAACTTAAAAAGTTTTCATATTTTGAGTTTTTACTTATTGTTTCATGACTTCCAGAATTTCATCTAATCGCCTTCATTAGTCTAACTTGTATTCTTTTGTTCATTTTTTGAAAAATCCTGGCGACATTCATAATAATAGTAACAACTGGAAAACAGAACACAAAAAACATAACAAAAAAACAATTACTACTCGGCTAAAACGCGTAACTGTCACCCTCAGGGTTGAGCGATATTTTTTCTCTCAAACCAGCCTTAAAAGTACATCATTAGACGCAGTTTTTTGCGCTGATTACGAATATCAACTTTAAAACAAACGAAACTCAAATTTTTAAATCGAAAATGCAAATTTAAAATTTAGATGTTTTTTTATTTCAATTTTCTGACCTACTTAGTTTTTTAAAAAGTTTCAGAAAGTATATCAGTGGATAAAGACTTAAATTCTCTGCAAAATGTACTCTTGACTTTGTCGAAACAATCTTAAAAAACGCATTTTGTACACTAAACAAGTTTTTGCTGGTTTTTACCGATTTTTTGCCGAATTCGAAATGGTACTTTTTTTGGAGTAATTCTACGAAAATCAAAAACATTTCTCCCACCGTTCTTTTTTGCTTAGTTTGATAGAGGGCACTCTATTGCACAAGGCTCCGTGCAGATCAAGTTTACAGAAGTCTTTTTTACCGGCAGAAATATAACGATAAAACCCACCGCAAAAGAAAGCAAAAAATGATGTAAGGGATGCCGTCACATTGGTCATCGCTTTAAGCGCTTTCTATATTTGATAGATTTATTCACAGAAAAGAAAAAAGAAAAGTAAGAAACGACAGAGAGTGCACCATTCCTAAAATAGGAAAGAACAGAAAAGAACGATATAACGTTGATATATGAGATATACGGTTGCTTCTAAGTTTGAAATTTTTTTGGCTTTTGATCCAAATGTTCGCTGCACTCACTATAAAATTACTCTATATTCTGTGAACTTAACAGATTAAAATAAAACTAACTAGAATATATACCTTTTCGTTTTCTATGTCAGTTTGAAGTACACAAGGTATACTATACGCCGAGCCATTTTTTAAAAAAGGGTACAGTCTACTTTATGAGATACAGGGCTGTCAATAACGGAGCTGAATATGAGACATCGATGTACTTTCTCTGCCAATTAACGAGCGAAATAATTTGTTATGGAGTTCTTGACTAGCATGACTTTTCGGCTTTCTCTTCGGGTCATGGTGGTCTTAATTCTGCATCCTATATTCTGCCAACTTCCAGAATAATAATTAAATTAACTATAGGGGATTTATTCTCACTTCTATATAATCCACGCACTAGTTCAGCTAGATGAAACTTTGATGTTTTCTTCTCTCTATGCATACTACAGAAACACAGATATAGAAAGCGCTTAAAGCGATTAAAGCGATGAACAATGTGACGGCATCTCTAATTCCGTCACGACATGTAATTCCGTCACAGAGCCATGTCGCTTGTTTCTTTTCATTTAAGCATTTTTGAGTGAAAATAAAGAGATGATTCGAAAGCTCTTTTCATGCTCTACAACTTTTATATTAGACTTGTTTTCTGAATATGTTTCGTTTTAGAGCATTTTTCAAATTTTGTAGAGCACTAGGAAAAAAAGGCTAAAAATGTAATTCCGTCAGGACACCTATTTTGCTCATAAAAATCGTTCTACTTAACCGATGCATTCGAAATTTTTACCACAAACCAAGCATTCTACCGCACATCTCTGATAAAATTTCGTCATCTTTTGTTCAGTATTTGAGGAGAAACAGAGCCTAAAAGTTGAAAAAATGTAATTCCGTACTGATAACATCGAGTCGACTGTACAACTTCAATCGTTGTACAGCCTCCTCTGACAAAGGTAGTTTTTTTACCTTTGTTCAGAAATCACTGTCTTCCAACCCTAAAAATCAGTTTATAATAGCAATAATACTTTATATATATCTAGAAACGATTGTTCCATCAATTTCAAACAGATTGAGGGCTCAACAGACGTATAATTCCAGTTTATTTGGCTAAAAACTGAAAAAAAACAGGAAAAACGGCGTATATTGTTCTCAATGTAGGCCAATTTTTTTTATGACGAGTTTTTGATCCAATGAGTTATATATACAGTTCGACGTAGTTTTTCATGCTCTCTCCGAATATGACCTTGAAATTTAAAAAAAGTTGCGAAAAATAGTGAAAATTGGGAAAAACCTGATAAAATCAGGCTATTTTCATTTTTTCAGTATACTTTATCGATCAAATCAATTTTTTTTCAATGTTAAATATTGTAAATATAGATATTTTTGAATTCGCTCTTCATCTGAAGGAATTTGAGGCAGATCTGTTAGTCACTACAGTAGCAGTGCTGATCCCAGACGGCACGAAGAGCCCGATCTGCAGGTTCCACAGTGGGCAATTAGGCAGCAATTTGGTCAAAAAGATGAAGTTTGATTTTTCTTGATTTGAAGATTGACCTATATACTTCAAGTGACGGGCTACTTAACGGCAAAAGAATTTTTATGCGAAGCCCTTTCCTCTCGGGAAAAAGTTAGCCAGAAAAATTCTTCTATTATTTTGTACCTTTTTGGAAAAACCGCATTTTCTCGACTTAAGTTTTGTACCAGCATTAATCTGAGGCCATATTCGGAATCAGCGGAAGTTGGGCTTCCAATCAGCACGGAAAATTTTTTTCTCGAGCCTCATTCTTAAAAGAGGTTTTGATCTTTTCTGGAAAAACGTGATTTTCCAAAAGCTTCACTCAATGCAATGAGATCGCTAAATTTTCCTAAGCTCCAAGAACCTTCATTTTTTGCGAGGATGAGCTCCATAACCACCTCTGTCTATGGTATCAGCTCATAGCCGCCCAAATCACACTGGCGTTCTCTGGAGATTTTCAAAGATCCGTTGGTTTTCAGGGTAAAATAAGCCTTTTTGTACCTTAAAATGATTTTTTTCGATATAATCTATACATATTCGAGATCAGTGGGAAAAACTGCATCCAATAAACTAGAATATTGTATATTAAATTCTGAAAACAAATTTTTTGGCTTTTTGAGCCAAGAATTTGGACATGTTTTTACATACTTCCTATAAGAATCCCACGAACCTGGATATTTTTTCCATTCTTCACATATTTTTCTATACTGAATTACTCACAATTTATAGAACGTGACTAATAATGTTTCCTTTGCTCTTTCATTGCTGTGAACTGATTGCAAAAAATGACAATGTAGCGCTCGGTGCTTTTATCAGAGAAAGCACTAGAAGCCACTAACAAATATGTTCGTAATTATAGAGAACATTTGGCACGTAAGATCGGACACATTCCCAATCTGACTGATGCGTTTTCTCGTCTGTTTATTAGATCTGATCCGGTTGTTCGTAGAATAGTGGATGCAGCACAAGAAAAGAGGAAAAGAAGTAATGATACAGCAGTTTCAATGTTTTTGAATAAAGACGATTTAGATTTGGATATTTTGTTTTACAAGAAATAAAGCTAGAAATAAAATTTCACTTCCTCTTGATAATACTTTCTTTCGTTTCATTTGATTGTATTCTCTTTAGTTAAAAAAAACTAAGGTTCTAATCCGTGTTTCAAAAATCTAAGAAAACTACATTTTTCGGAAAACTTTTGGAAAATCCTAAGTGTATGAGAAGCAGTTTCGACATCTTCGCCAGTCTTAGCGTGGTGAAAATTCTCAAAATGTGTGATTTAGTGCTTCATTTCATGGAAAATAAGCGAAATTTAACATTTTCGGAAGATGAAAACTAGCCAGCAGATTTCTAATAGCGCCATTAGACTCAGCGTCACGAATTACCTATGCGAAAGTGTTTTCAGCGTTAAAAAACGTAAACTAGTCCAAACTGCTGCCTGCTCTTGCATAAACTGCCCACTGTGGGGTCTGAGTAGGTTTTTTTTCTGTTTTTTCTTTAAGTTTCATTATTGTTTTAGTCCGTTTCATTATTTACACCTATTGTATGCGAGAAAAAATCGATGCTTAATTAGTTAGTAATAAAGACGCGATCATCATCATCACTATTCTCTGAATCTGTATGCGACAATTCTGAATAGTCTTGAGCAAAAAATGACCTTATCGCCACTTGTCCACATTGCACATCGCAATACATATACAAAATTAAACGGACATTTCAGTTGTTGAATTTAAGAAAGATAACGATTAGATTTATTTGATACTGACTTTCGTTAATAAAATAAAATTCTTTTATTTAGCCGTTGTAAAAATTTTATTCAGATTGAATTACTCATAACTAAACTATACACTCACATACACAACAACAAGGTCCAATATAGGAATAAAATTAAATTAAAAGAAGAAGAAAAAGAAAGAGGAGAATAAAAACGTTTTTTAAAACCTTCTGCTGTTATCCTAAAATTTTTGTTCTTTTCAACGTGGTCGAATGACAGATGATGCACGTCCAGTAGCCATACTCGGTTGTCGTGTATGTTCACGCTAAAATACACAACACACAATTAGAAAAAAAAGTTTTTCATTTTTATATATATATATCTACTAACCGGTGGTGTTGTTGATCGATTTGCTGATACTGTTGATCGATTTTTACTACGTAATTTTGATAGTTGATTTTCCGCTGCATCCGCTCGTTCAACTGAATCTTCTATAGAAGTTGAAAAGAAAAAAAAGAAAGAAAATATACACACCAAAACATTGACAGCATGGTGCGAATTATTACTTACCCAATTCTGTTTGAACTTTACGATATTTTGCTAGATTTAAAGCAGCAATCTCCTCTGCCTCTTCCACTTGTCGTTTATAAATTTTAATTTTTTGTTGTAATTTGTCATTCAGATCATTTAATCGATGATGCGATTTGCGTTCTTCTTCAGTTTGAAATGTAAGCTCTTTCAAACGATGATCATTTTTACGTAATTCTTTGAGCGTTTCTTGATGACGATGTTGTTCCAATTCATATTCACCTTCAACTTCATGAATCTGAATAGATGAAGTCAATTTTAGTCTACTTGTGATACATTTAGATAGCATCATAGACTTACACGTTGTTCAAGTTTGGCAATGATACGTTTTCCACCTTTCATTGCATTACCCTCAGCCTCATCTAAACGTGTTTGTAGATCTTTGACTTGTTGTTCTAGACCTTTTCTTAAGCGTTCAACATGTAGTGCATGTTCTTGTTCTTGACGTAGTTCTTCGGCTAAGCGGCCAGCATCGGAAACTATTTAAAAAAATGAATCGTTAAACTCTTTTAAAAACTTGATTAAAAAAATACACACACTTACCAGATTTTTTCGATCGTTCTTCACTATTTTTCAATTCAGCAACGGCTTCATCTAAATCAGCTTGCATAGCAGCTACTGTGGATTCTAATTGTCGACGTTGTGATGATAAATTGGCATTTTGTGTACTTAGTTCTGAGATACGATCAGCTGCTTCATGTAACTCATTTTCAGCTGCTTTTCTTGCACGTTCTGCTTGATCTACACCCGTACGTAATTCTTCTAATTCACTAGCAATCGCATTAGCTCGACGTTCAGCAGATGCAGCTATTTCTCTCGCTTCATCACGTTGTCGTTGTTCTTCTTCAATTTGTGCTTGTAATTCAGAAATTGTTTGTTGAAATTTTTTTACATTTTTTTGTAATTCAACATTTGTACGATTTGAATGATCTACTGCAATTTCTAATTCATTTATATCAGATTCTAATTTTTTCTTCTGTTTTAATGCTTCAGCTTTCGATCTTGTTTCTGCTTCTAAACTAGCTTGCATTGAATCAAGAGCACGTTGATGATTACCTATACACAAACAAATATATATCTTATAATATAAATATATTGATTAATCAATGAGAAGACTTACGTCTTGTACTTTCAAATTCTTCTTCTTTTTCATGAATACGTCGATCAATTTCTTGTCTCACCGTTGATAATTCCATTTGTGCTCGCAAAACTTTTGCTTCTTCTTGTTCTAATGCTGATTCAGCTTCTTCTAATGCTGCTTGTAACTCTTCTTTCTCCATTTCTAAACGTTTTCTTTGTTTATCTAGTTCATGTACCGATTTACCACCTTCACCCAATTGATCTATCAAATCTTTAATTTCATCAGCTAAATTTTTATTCTCTTTTCTCAATGCTTCAATTTGTTCATGTGATTCTTCATATTGTGTTTTTATTTTGAATAATTCAGTGGAATATTGTCGTGCTTCTTTCTGTGATACTTCTAATTCAACCGTAATATCTTGACATTTTTCTTTCCATTCATTGATCAATTTATCAAATTGTTTTTGTTTTTTATCCATGGCTGATGCATCTAGAATTTAACAGAAAATTTTAGGGTGATATAAATAAGAGAAATAGAGAAAATAAAAACACAAAACTTACTAGCATTTGCACGTTCAACATCGACCATCAAATCCTCAACTTCACCAAGTAAACGAGCTTTTACTTTTTCTAATGCATTACACTTTGATAAGGCACCTTCAACCTGTGAAAAGAAAAAAGTCATTGAAACACGCATCACTCTGATGTTCTTACTATCGTACAAAGTGATCGAAATCTTAGCAAGATACGAAACAGTTCCAATATTAATTTTTTTTCAACTTTAGAGACAGCTGGGCATTTTTCTAATAATTTTTATTGACCTTGAGAGAAAAACGATAAGATTTTGCGAATCAATAGTCAAGACTTAAGAGCAGATTTTCATGATGTAAATCAATTGAAAAATCGGTTCCAATATCCGTTCAGTTTGTTTTGTCAAAATTTCATTTAGAAATATAATTGTTTTTCTGTCTAAGAAGTAACACAAAATATCTTCTGTCAATAAACATTTCATAAATCCAGTGTAAATCTACTTAGGTGAAATAACTAATATTCTCCACTTTTCATGTAATACTGTAAAATTCCATTGCCAAATGGTTTAGTATGAGTTCTGGATTTTTGAAAGACAAAATGGCACACAAATTTACATAAGGGACATTGAAGAAGAAAACCCAAAATACTGCAAGTTCCACTATGGGTAACTCCGTATATTTAAAGGAAAGTTCAGTTGTACGCTGATAAGGTTATAATGTACTGTAAAGTATCTTTTACAGTAAAACGTCCCAAACTTTCTCTATAACCCTTCGTTTTCTAGAAATGATAGCTTGACTAATGTTTGAACAACGATTTTTACATATTTCTTTGTAGATTTTTAAGCATTTGCTAAATGATTCCTGAAAAAACTCAAGCGACTTATTGGTTCATTGAGAGAAATAAAAATAGCACAGAAAGAAGCAAAGCACAAAAGAACACTGCATGGTTGATAAAATCGAACATTTGAACTTTAAATTCACATGCAAAGAGTTTTCTTTTGGACTCAATTGTCCAAACGTAAAACTCCAAGGTGTTCTCATCCCCATCCTGTGCATTGCTCTAGTGTGTTCTGTTCCCGCTGCTTAATCCGTCCAGTTTATATCCTTAATCAGTGACCAAAGCCTGTATGAGGAGTTATAGAGAGAAGATGTTGCAGATAGAGACACATATAACATAGACAGAGAGTGATATAAGTAGTAATTAATCGTTAGGCTTTGACAACATTCCATGTGCACTTAACTTGATTTAAAAAGACTTTCAGATTAAATGCAATAGAAACTTTGTTTCTACACTCGTATAAACGAGGGGATGTTGTTCATGAGCTTTTCTATTAACTCTTTATTTTTATATTATTTACGGTCATAAAAAGTACTGCCATCGTGAATATTTCTTTCTCTTTCTTCGGTATCGTACAAGACATATAATGGGAGCGAGATCAATCTCTAGTATAATCAGATGCAAAACGACGGATTATTCAAACCTGTTCTTCGGCCTCGGACAATTTTGCAGCTAGTTTTCGTTTTGCTTCTTCCAATTCTTCACCACGTGCCAAACCTTTAATTCAAAAAGAATATTTCAGTGAGAAAGTAAGTCATCGATTTCGACACTTAAATACCTTCTGATTCAAATCGTGCACGCCATTGTTGATTTTCCGAACTCAATTTTGTTACTTGTCGTTGTAACTCAGATTTTCCCTCTTGTTCTTCCTCCAGTTGTTCACGTGCTTGATCCAAATCGGCAGTCAAGTTACGTAGTTGTGAGGCTGAAATGAACAATACGATAAACAATAAACTATTCCACGTCTATTTTATGTGCCTATAACTCACTGATGGCATTTTTCGATCGTAATTCTTCTTCAAGAGAACGTTTTGCATCGTTTGCTTGTTGTTGAAGAGTTGTTTTTGCTTTTGTTAATACTGCTACTTGATGTTCAACGTCTTCCAGTTGTTTAATAAGATCAGAATTTTCTGATTGAAATTTTGATTTTTGTTGATTAAAATCACTGATTTGTTTAATATGATCATCCATCTTTGTTTGAATATCTGTCAATTGCTGTTCTAACTGTTTGGAAAGTTTTTCGGCTGCTAGTTTACCCTTAGTAACATGATCAATTTGTGTACGTAAATCATCTACTTCAGATTTAATTGATTGTTTGTCCTTCTCTAGTTTATTTTTTATTTTTTGTAATTGATCAACTAGAAACGGAGAAGAGAAGATTATTAATGGAAGTAATTTTCCTCTTCAATGTACTAGGAGCAGTGATGGTATTGATCGATATTCTCGGATAGGATAGTACTTGTGAACTTTTCCAAGTAAATTTACTTGTCAAGTGCTTGTTCAAGCACTTGGTTGACCCAGTGCAAGCAAATTTACTTGAAAAACTTCAACCAAGTACTTACTCCATTTACAGCTGCTTTCTACAGCCATACTCTATTTTTGTGGAGTAGGCGCACGCATGGCTATCAAGTTTGTTCAACTCAGCAAAAATATTTAAATTTATTTTCGCAAGCTTATACTGATGAATATTCTGACGTTTATATACAACTTGTCAATGCAAAACAAAAGAGTAATTGACTCGTCTTAGTATTAGGTTGAAGCGAATCAAGTGACGATGCATAACGAGTGCTTAGAGAAGAACTTATAAAGTAAAAACACTTGCCAAGTTCTTCTTCAAGTGCTTACTAAGTGAGGAAATTTGTTAAGTACATTCATCAGGGTGAATTTACATTGTCAAATCTATTAGTTATAACTAGACCTAGTAACGTTCACCGTTCTTTTCTACTAAATGTAAAACACTAAAACCATATTCAGATGAACGTGAACTGTTATTGCAACGGTGTTAGTATTGTCTGAAATAAACGTAAAATTGTTTAAAAGAAAAGACTCCGTGTTTATTCATACAAAGTATTTTTTTTCATAAGTTCATTAGTCTGTTATGGCATTTTACTACCCTAAGGAAAAAATCCGCTAGGATCATCACTCGACGGAGTTAGATAGAGTAGATGAACTATATGATCAAAAAATCATGAAAATTTTTTACGAATTCATTAATGCTACCAGATTTGTTTGATCGATGTACTAGTAGGTTTAGCCATAGATGCACTTTTATCAAAATTTGCTTTCTCTTTTGGTCTTGCAGTTCATCGACTATATTCAGATACATCTGGCAGTTTGTCTAGTAAATAATAAAGTTTATTGATATGGTAATACAGCAGATAACTTTGTTAAATATATACGCTACTATACACTAGGAAAACGAAAGTCAAAATATTCGATAAAGAGTACACATTTCTATTCGGCTGCAACTGTAATCATATACCTAGGTATATCTACTTTCAGACATACCGCCAAGACCACAGATTTGTTTCCGAAAGAAATGAGGGAAGCGGAAAAAGATCGAGAATCCTGGTACAGTGATCGAATTGCCATACCCATGAGGAATTTTTAGTATATAAAACGGAAAATATCGTGAAATGAACTGTGATCGCACATGCACATTGTAAAATGGTGTGTGAATATGCGTGAAAAATATATTCTACTTGTGACAATGCGTGAAATGTTCATGAAACTTTTCGCGTCATATTTTTCGCACGTGGTCACTAGTGAAAGTCGTAAAATGGTGCATGGACATATGTAAATTCTCGCTTTGTGAACGTGTGTGAAATTATGAAAAGTTTACACGTGACCACGCGTTTGATGCTGCAACTGCACGCCCCCAACATCGTAAAACTTCAACAAAATTTTCCCATGGGTAAGGTAATTGTTATCACATATGATAATAACATCATGCTTGTACTTGTATAGAACATATATCTAAGAGATACTGATTCATTCAGTTTAACGATATAGTTAAGCCAGAATATTGTTTTAGACTATCTATATTTACTGTACTAAAAGAGCATGGTTATATTGCCATAGTCCTAAGTCATCAGCAAATAAAACAATTTAATAGTTCGGTTAGTAAGTGCGTTGTACGCATGATTGACTAATGTCAAAAAATTGACTTTGCAGTACTATTCATTTTAGACAATAATCTTTCTTCTAAATGAATTGTTTTAAATGAAATGTGAACTTCAAGAGACCGAGTGATAATTCGTTAATTATTTTATGTTTGGTGAATACGTATATCTAAACTGTGCGTAATAAAAATCTTACTTTGTTCTCCCATTTCGGTTACAGCATCTTGATGCTTCTTTCTCAATTGAGCAGCTGTTGCTTCATGTTGAAGACTGGCTTCTTCTAAATCTCTTCTCAATTTTGCTAATTCACCTTCACGTTTTTTATTCATTTCGACTTGTGACGATGTAGCACCACCGGCTTCCTCTACAACATAATATTTCAAAATAGTGAAAAAAGAATTTTATCAAATAATAATCCAATAAACAATACCTAAACGATCATTCATTTCATCAATTTCACGTGCTAAATCGGCTCGTTGTTTTTCCGTTTTTGTTCTCGATTGTCTCTCGGTTTCAACTTCTTCTTCTAATTCTTGCATTCTACTTTGTAATTCTTTGATTTTTTTCTGTAGACTTGCTGCTTGTCCTATATACGATATGATAATTAATAAAATGCATTATTCTTATTATTATTCATATATACCTTGTTCATCTTCCAATCGTCCACCCATTTGTCCAATTTCTTGATCTTTTCGTTTTAAATTTTCTTCCAATTCTCGTTTTGCTCGTTCCATTTCTTCTAAATTTCCTTGTGTTGATTTTAAATCACCTTCTAATTTACGTTTTGATTTATCTAAATCGGCACGGCTCTTCTTTTCACGTTCTAACGAATCTTCTAATTCATCTAATGTTTGTTCTAATTTCGTTTTTAATTTATTTAAATGATTTACTTTATCTTCTTCTGCTTGAAGCTGTTCAGTTGTTTTTGTATTTTGTTCTTCCTAAAGTAGAAAGAAAGTTAAAAAAAATATGATATTAGACATTTTTTTTAAATAAAAATTTAACATCATACGTACTAATCGTTTTTTTTCCCGTGTTAATTTTGATAGTGACTCGTCTTGTTGTGCCATTTCATCTTGTAAAATGTTAATACGATTTTCACGCGTTTTACATTCATTTTCTGATTTTTGTAAATTTAATCTCATATCATCAATATCTTTTTTCAATCCATCAATATCATGTTCTAATTTTTTACGTTTACTTTGTAGTTCTTGTCCAGCTTGTTCTTCCTCATGTACACGTTCTTCCATGTCCTTTAGTTGCTGTTCAATATCGGCTTTTTGTGTTACTAAACGTGTCAAACGCTCTTCGACAGTAGAAGCATTTGATCGTTCAGTTTCCAATTGTAAATATATATCATTTTTATCTAAAATACAGTTAACAATATGATAAAATATATATTGATTATAAAATAAGTTGTTGTTGTTTTTTTCTTCTTACCTTTGATTAATTTTGCATTATTTTCTTCAATTTCTTTTCGTAATTTTTCTTCTTTTGCCAAATTTTCTTTCAATTGTACAAATTCTTCTTCCATTTTTTTTAATTCTTCTTCCTGTCTTGCTACAGATAACATCGGTTTTATTTTTGTAAATAATTTCCACCATGGCCAATTACGTACAGCCAAATATTTTTTAACATTTCGTTGTACAACTTGTAAAGCAACACGTTGTTCCAACATTTTTCGGTATTGTTTACGCATAAGAAAACCACGCATTTGTGCTTGTATTTTTGATATAATTTGACTTAATGCTGTGTCACGCATATCTTCTAATTGACCCAAAACACCAGCTTTAAAGAATACTTTTGTTGTACCGAGACGATATAATTCTTCGGATAGAGCAACAGAAGGATCTTTAAGAATATCTTCCGTAGCTTTTCTTGCGTCAATAAATCCTTTTGGAATGGCATTGGGAGCAAGAATACTGTAACGTTGTTTGAATTCTTGATAAATTATACGATTTGGTAAACCCAGACGACAAATACGAATGCCTTCTAATACACCATTACAATGTAACTGATGAATAACCAGATGAGAGTCAAGTACACCTATTAAAAATAACATCAAAATCTAATTTTTTTTGTCAAATGTATCCTAGTAATAATTTTTCTTTATAAAATAAAATGTAAAACTGTTGAAGATTGAAGACTTTACATATTCGAGACAGATTTTGAACAGAATCTTATTAGCAGTATATATTTAAATATATCAAATTCTATCAATTCTAAGAATTATAGAACTGTACGGTAAAAAAAGAAGTGTCCAAAAGTTGACGCTTTTTAGTGGGCGGTTTTTTCGTCACATCTTGGTATGCTTTTTGTTAGACGGTTTTTTTTTCTGGACAAATTTTTCGTATGTTTTTTTTTGTTAGATGGAAAAACAAAATTTGAAAAGATTTCCAAATAAAATTTTCCTCAGTTTTGAATGCACTACAATTTGGAAGCACGCTTGATCTGTTGGACCGATCCACTATCACAGGCGCTTTTTTGGACGCTTTTCTTTTACTGCTGTCATATAGTATATAAATACTCCTAACTTTCTGAAACATTTTCCAAATTTTATTACCAAATTCGAATTAAATTGCATTGAAAAAGGTGGGCTGGATCTTCACTTGAACAAATTCCGAATACCCAAATTCTAAGAAAACCTTCAGGTTTTTCCTTTTTATTGAAAAATCTTATAGAATTTACTAGAAACTTTCTAACGAAATTCTGTGAATTTTTTTCCGAAATTTTCTACAAGAACGACGTCACACAAGGCTGCACCATGTTTTATGGTAAAGATAAAAGGTTGAACAACAAATCTAGATATTCAAAAAAGGAATAATGTAGCTTACATTAGGATGGATAATAGCGTTTAGGAGAACTGTTTCGTGAAACTTTTGCAACTTTCACAAAACATTACAGAAAAACAACCGTAGTATTAGGGATGGGACAGTTCCAGTTCCCATTATTTCTAGTAACTGGTTAAAAGAACTGATGACCAGTTACTATTCTTTCAAATCGACATAATTTTACATTTCTCAGTGAATGTTTGTTGCTCTATAATATCTTTTAATAGAAAAGGCGCTTACCATAATATAGGAACGTTCACATTCAAGGCTTTAGAATAAAGATTTTCTATACGTATATTGTTTCTATGGAAAACATGACAGTATTGTCCATGGAAACTGAACTAGACGAGTTTATTACAGTATAAAAAAGGAATGGGTACGGGAACTGTCCCACGCCTGCGTATATATATACATACAGTATACATTTTGAAAGAGAACACGTCAAGGTATCTTGCCATGCGAAAAAAACTCAAGATTAATTTTCAACCAAAAAATTCAACTTTCTGAGGACGAATTTTTTCTCAATAGTGGTCTTTCTCAGTATCTTGCAATTAGTTACATTTTATTTTACTGCATTTGACATGCGCTGTAAACTCAGCATACGATAAACATTACGCTATCAATTTCAGTTCTAAAGGTAGAACAACACATGTATTGAGAAGTCGTTAAAATCAACTAGACAAGCAACATTTCTTCGAAACATGATATATGATTCAGATTTATTATGTAGATTACGAGTACGTATTTCCGAACGGATGCAGTCAGGATGTTGGACTCGGAAGAAACCAAAATCTATCTGTAGTACGTTGTATAGCACGACTAAAAGTATTACAAAGTTCATTTGCACCTTTACACATTATAAAGGTTATGTGTTGCATGACTGTTTTCACGCCATCAGCTGAGAATTTGAACGTACTGAGAGGGATCAGATTCGCGGATTTTCACCGTTCTCAATCAATTTTTAGCTACTGCTCTTTGAAACAAGTGCTTGCAAAACTGTATATTTTTCATACTACATTGAAAGTTTCTCCCTGATGTTTCAATAAACAATTTAACATAAGAATCTTTATCATGATGCGATAACTCACTTATTTTGTGAAATATATGATTAACTTAGAGTCTAATGAAATATAGATTTATTTTCTATTAAAAATCACATCCCTAGTAACCATGAATTCCTGTGAAGCACCAAAACTTTTGATAATTAAGTGCTTTTCGTGTTTTGCAAGTGTTGCTGGAAGGTAGACTTTTGCTTAGATTTCTACAAAATCACCAGAGAACGAGTCATTCTATAAAAGCAGATATTTCTGAAAGCGAAAAGATAAATCTCAAAACTACTTCACGCGTGAAGAAACAACAAATACTACAGTGACTTGTTTCTTTAGTCATTAAACAAAACTTAGAAGTCGCTTTCATCTGACCGTAAACCGAGCTGTATTTCATTGAACTTTGAGTTAATTATACGCTCAATAAAATCAGTGAGTTTTATTTAGCACAGTGGTAAAGATTCCGAATTAAACTGCTTTTTTAGGCATCATAGAAGAAAATCTCATATCAAAGTTCATTGAAATGTACAACTTTATATAATAATAAATGAGATCTTTTGTGATATCTTGAATCAGAAATTGTTCCTCTACAGTATAAAAGTAAAATAATTACTGCCTTAAATATATTCTTATCGACAGAAAGATGGTCTAGCAGTGATGAAAAACATTGAGAAAAACGTGTTTTGATTTACCTCCTGTTTTGATTTCATTTGGAATAATGCAACGAACGAAATGTGGATGTGTTTGTTTTAACGTTGTCATCAGTTTATTCAATTGTTCCTATGAATATATATATAAATTTAGACAATGTGTACATTGACTAATCATACACTACTTACTCGGTGAGTAGCTGAGATGGTTTGCATACTACCACCTTTTTTTCCTTTACCACCACCACCTTTACCACCACCAGCTTTTTCCTCTGTTTACAAACATCGTTCTATGTACAAAGATTCTCAATTCCACTCACAATATCCTACCTTCTTCAGCTGCTACATCGGCATACAAATGACTTAACATTGGATTTTTTGATTTTGAAAATAGAGTAGCAACAGTTGTATTGATTGGATCTTTATTTTTTTCCAACCAACTCGTAGCTGTATATGGTACAGATCCAGCATAGTGATGTACTTCAAAATTAGCTTCTGCTTTGCCTTTTACTGGTTTTGGTTTACCAAATTGTGGATGTTTACCCAAATGATTTGTATACAATTTTTCAACAAATGTTTTATCCGAGGCTTTTGGTACGATACATTCTTCTTCCAAAATCGATAAGATACCCATTGGCTAGAAATGGCTTATCATTAAACGTTTTGTAAAGAATAAAAAGATTTCATACCTTTTCGATCAAATCTATACATGCTTGTAAATCCATCCCAAAATCAATAAATACCCATTGAATACCTTCTTTTTTATATTCTTCTTGTTCTAATACGAACATGTGATGATTGAAGAATTGCTGAAGACGCTCGTTGGTATAATTTATACATAATTGTTCGAAACCATTAAACTAGAAAATCAAAAAAATATCAAAAGTTTGCACATAACACTTAACACTAGCACTATATCAGAGAAAATATCAAACTATTTTGTTATAGATCATTTCAGGTAAGTGTCATGTCTTTTAGTTGAGAAGGTCACAACAAGTTTATCAGAACAAATTTAAAAATAGATTTCAAACTGTGTGTATCAGACTGAGCAAAACTTTTATCATGCCTTTCGTTAGAAATTGATATTCCTACTTCGTCTAGCACAAGGAGCAATGAAACATAACTTTACAGATTGCATATTAAAATAACGAATCCTGTGCCAAAAATAATAGAACGTTCCGGCACGATTTTTTCTCAAGACCTTGGATTAAGAAATATCATCAGGCCTTGGAAAAAACACTAAGAAGTTCAGATCTTGGATTCTTGAATCTTACACCCAAGATCTTGGAAGCAGAAATTTCAAGACCTTGAGTAAATTTAGTTAAAATGTTTCAAAGTGCTGTAATAGAATTTTTTTTAAAATTTTCTTTCTTATTTGGCAGCCCTTACCATTAGACATACAATCAGATGTGGCCATTGGTTCATCCTTGAACAGCTATGTTCAAGAACGGAGAAATTTTGAAACTATTCGGAGTATGAAAATTTTTGCAGTCATATGGCAGAAACAGTGTGAAACAAAATGGTGGTTCAAGAATTATCAAAATCTTGGTACAAGAACTCAAGAAATTTCAAGACGTTTAAGAAATTGGATTATGAATTTCTTAAATTTTCTTGTCAAGATCTTACCAAAAAAATTCAAGAAGTCAAGATCATGGTTGCAAAAAGTTTCACTCGGGAGGCTTTTATAAAATATTTCTGACGTTATTCAATCGTCGACAGATTCGCGAAAGAACGAAGTAAAGTAAACCTGGTATATATCAGTCGATCCCTCTAATGTGAGCCGAATTTCTTCAAAAAACTAAGACATAACACAGAAATCGGCGCCCGTCAATCCGTGTAGTTTCTACAGAGTTGTTCGAGGTCTTCTTTTGATCAGAAAAGTTTGCTCTACAAATCTGTGTGCTCAGAAAAATTTTAATTGCATAAGTATCCAGGAAAAAACTATTATTTGAAGATCCGGTTTTTCGAGGCTCCTAGAAGCTTGCCGAGAATGCGCGAAAAATCACTTCTGTAACCAAAAGCGGTAAAGATTCTGAAAATAGGCACTTCAGGCTACTTTTTCCATTTCTGACCGAAAATCATCATTTCTGATGGGTTCTCCGCGTCAAAAACCTAACTCTGTAAGTATCAGTCGGATCTTGACCAAACTTTTAGGAGATGCTGATCTTGTGAAAGTATGATGAAGACATTTTTTTCTTGGCTCCATCCTGCATAGTTTGTGAGATGTAGCCACAATAGTGGCCAAAATGGGGCTATTTCTAGCTGCAAGATTTTTCAGCAACGAAACGTTGTAAAGAGCTCGAGTCGATCTTAAGCTGATGAGAGCACATCTGGCTAGAGGTTAATAAATGGTCATCGTCAAAAGTCCAAAATTCGAAAAAGTCTCAGCAACTTCATAAACGTATTTTTCTAATCACAAATCTAGGCCGAATATCAAAAATCAGGCTCGATCAGCCTCTAGCCACATCTGTCAGCTTCAATTCAAGACCTTTGCGAGCTCTCTGCGATGTTTCATTACTGAGAAATCTTGGAGCTCCGCAATGCTGTTAAGGTGAAAGTCGCTTTCGAGATATGGTGGCGCTAGTATCTGATGCAAGTTTTAGGGCTTCCAGGAAAACTCTCATAGCTCTTGATCAGAGCATCATTTAGAGCTGGGAGATATCTCTTTTTGATCAGAAATATTTTCTCTATTTTTTTTCTTATTTAATTTTTTGTTATTGAAAGTATTTTTGGATTTACTTTTTTATCGGAAAGTAAAATTTATTCGAAAAGTCAGCTTTGAAAGGTTTTCGGAAAACTTTTCTGAAACCTAAGTTAAAAACTGTTTTACGTATGACCTGCTCGTATACTAATTCCTTTGACTATGAATAACTTATTCTGGAAATGTAGTATGTATTTTTGGCAATTATTTTGATAATTACTCAATCTGTATTTATCACTTTTCTTTGTGTCAAGCTCATCGAAAAACGTAAAAAGTTCTCTGGGATTAATGTTCCCATTGAGCCAGTTCTCGTATATGAATAACTTTTGTTTTTACTAAGAAATAAAGGCGATTGTTGCAGCCTTTTTATTAATGCACATTAGAACTGGTTAAGCTAGGAGCTGCTCATGTTTTGTCACAGACACATCACGATTTGAGAAAGTATCGTATTGGTCACCGTGCTCAAAATGTCGAAGCTATATGCTAAATACATACGTCAAAAATTTCAAAGCCCGCAATATCCAACACACCAATGAAATATTGTCGTTTTGCTTTGACATCCAAGGTCACGTTGACACGTTCAACGAGCCAACTGAACATACGAGAATAAATTGATTTTGATAGAGCACCAATTGAATTCACCACTTGATCTTTACTTTGACCTTTATTTACATATTCTGTACCAACCTAAAACGTATGTTTAAGTTTATGTTTTCCAATGTTTAATTTCCATAATGAAAAAAAAATAACAATAGAGCACACTTACTTTAATACGTGGTTTCAACAATCCTTTAATTAAATCGGCTGCATCAACTGCCAATAAATGTGCGACCTTATCACAATCTTCTGTACCATCGGCTTCGGCTTGTTCTTCACGTGGTCGTTGTTTCCATGTTGTATTACCAAAATGCATAATTGCTGCTGTACATTTGAACAAGTTAAGTTTTTCATCCTGACTAAATCCCAAAATATCAAATGCTTCGTCCGTTAATTTCCATTCTTCAGCATCGTCAACACCCTCAATTGTAAGTTTGCCTTGTGCAACATAATGATATTTACCAGCATCAGTACCAATCAATAATTCCTCTAAAAACATAAACGAACACTTGAACAATGATGGTCAATCATTGATAAAACATTATACGTACGGTGATATTTATCTGCAGCGGCACTCGAGCATAACTGATAGAAAATATGATAATTTCTTTCAAGTGGTTGTTGAAAAATAACACGTGATTTTTCCAATAAATATACTTCGATATCAGCACCGGCAATTTTTCCAGCATTACCAAAATGGATACGAATAAATTTACCCTAAAAAACACATTATCAAGAATATAATCAATGAAAGAACAAATTTTTTACGTCACAGACTTTGAATGTAGACCATTATTCATGCAAAATTGTTGTTTATTTACTGGCACTTGGGTTGGTTTCTATATCTATACACCACGTGTGTAATGAGGAAATGTTGGATGAACAAAAGGATAAAATCATATAAACTAAAAACTGAAGTGAACATAAACAAATAAATAATAATAAATTATTAGGAGAAGACTATCTCTGTAGACACAGATGATAAGTTAAACAAAAAATCAGATTCTGGGTAGGCAATTTTTAGCATTTGGAAACACTATTACTAACCAGTTACTATGTGGGTTGAACAAAATATTGAGAACTGAGCTCTTTTCTCAATTCAAAAACAACTGATCAAACAGAAAAGCATTATTTCACAAAGCAGGACAAGATAGAAATTTCAGTGTAAGACAGAGCATGATCGAGCTAAAGGGTAGGAATAAAACACTGGAGAATGTTTGTTTTAAACGAAAAGAACTTCAGATTTTTGAAAGTTTGGTGAAAAATTCGAATTTCTTCGATTAAAATCTGTGATATTGTTTCATATAAAAAAACTGACGCACAGCCACCTAACACTTATCTCTTCTTCCAGCTGTGAGCTAGACGCACGGGGAACTACCCTAAATGATAAATCGCGTTTTTCACCAAATCTAGTGTGTTATAGCTTATCGACTACGCTGATTCTGAATATTCATATGAAACGGGCTGCTAGACCTTCCTAGAGCGATTTTCTGGAAAACCAGTTTACCAGAAACTCCAAAAAATCTTCAGAACTTTTTCTTAATAAACCATAACCGTAGCCCACGAAATTCTGATCAAAATGAGACATCCGTCAGGTCTACACGCTCTTTTTTTACAAAGTTATAGAATTTACAAGGAAAGCCTTAAATGTTCACTGTCAGCTCAGAGGTATAGACAGAAAAAGGAATTTAGGGCTTTTTCTGTGAATTCTATAACTTTGTAAAGAAAGGTCGTATAGACCTGGGGGATGTCTCGTTTTGATCAAAATTTCGCGGACTGCAATCATGGCTTATTAAGAAAAAGTTTTGAAGATCTTTTGGAGTTTCTGGAAAACTGGTTTTCCAGAGAACCGTTCTAGGAAGGTCTAGTAGCCTGTCTCATGTGAATATCCGGAATCAGCGTGATCGATAACCTGTAACACACTAGATGTGGTGAAAAACGCGATTTATCAGTTAAGATACTTCACTCGTCAGTGCTGAAATTCAGTTTTACAACAAAATCTTGAATTACGTAAGACATCTCCACTTTAAAGAACACATTTCCTGAGATTGAAATAGATAAGATATACCGTGATGTACAACTTTTATTTAGGGTTGTTTTATATTGAAAAGAGTCTCGAGAAAATCGAAAGATCTAAGTAATTGAAAAGTCGAACATATATCTCTCGTAGTGAAAATGATGTCTGCACAAAGTGCAGATCAATTTGAAGTGCTTACAGATCAGTTTCATCTATACATTTTTGCTCTAGATACGATCTGCATTCTCGAAAGCCGTAATACTTTTTAGTGAAAATATTACGATTGTATGAGGAGTAAGACTAAACGAATAGCAACCAATTTAAAAAAGAAAAATATCAAGTGTGCGCGTAATATGGCAAAACTGTCCACTATGTGAATGCAACTCACAACAAATTTTCCAATAGTAGCATGCATATGTGTGTATATGTGAGTGTTTTCTAACAGATTGTGAAAACTTTTGTGTGCTGATACTATTAAGATGTCATGGTTTCAATTGCAAAATACTCACGAATCGAGAGCTGTTATTGTTTCTTGTTGTTTTGGCATTTCCATATGCTTCAAGCACAGGATCTAGAGCAGGGAAAATCAAATGTGAGGTGATGATGTACAAAATTAGATAATAGTATTATAAACTTGCTTGCTGATACAATTTGATCTTCCAATGTCATCTTTTTTTCGGCCTATCGCAATAAAAAAAAAAAAATTATTTCTATACTCAAAACAAGCATAAAACTTACCGTATCTTTCTTCTCGGAAGCTGCTGCAACCAGTGCAAAATACTGAATGACTTTTTTTGTATTTTCAGTTTTTCCAGCGCCTGATTCTCCAGTAATCAACATCGATTGGTTTTCACGTTCTAAAATTTGTTATTACAGTTTACACGTATGAAAAAACAAGTCACTCATTTTTCGTTGCATGCTTATACCTCTTAACATATTTGAATAGGCATTATCAGCTACAGCATATAAATGTGGCGGCACTTCATTTGATTTTTTTCCACGATACATCATTACAACTTTCATTGTATAGATTGGTAAACGTTTGTATGGATTGATTACCACACAAAATAATCCTGAATATGTCTGAAAAAATAGACAGAATTTGTGATAGATATTAAAAGATTAATGATGATTTTACACATACATAAATAAGCCAATTTTTGTAACGTGCACGTAAATTATGAAGTACACTAGCATCATTTAAATGCGTTAAATTTGCCATATCATCACACATTTCAAATTTTGGTGGATTCATTAGCTGTATATCATCTTTTTTTACCGTTATTTTCTATATGAATAGAGAAGAACCATCGTAACTTATATAGAAATGACGCTATACATGTACTTACTTCTCCTTTGTCTTTTTGTACTACTACATCGTCTCCTTTAGTACTCTCAATTAAACCCTCTACAAAACATTCTTTTGGATCCGGTACCCAACATTGTTTTTTGGCATCGAATGGTTGTGATTGATATTTGATTTTTTCTTCTGGTAATAACCGAAGGTATCGTAATGATTCCGTCATTGCTTCATCTTCCGTCATCTTGAAAGTTGTTTCTTAGTATATATATTCTAAACAGTAGAAATATATTTTTGCAGCCTGTGACAGAGGTCGTTATAGATTAAAAAAAATAAAGCAGGTTATGCTCACATAGCGCCACCGTCGACAAAAAGATTAAGATGATTAGGACTCTTTACTAAAAGGGTGTTTATACTTGAAGTTAATATTGAAGTAGACAAGATCCCAGACTGTGAAAAATGAGATAAAAAATGAGCCATAAATGACTCATTTATGTGTCATATGTGGCTCATTTTTAAATCATATCTCTCCCATATTTATCTCATTTATTGTACTATAATGTAGTCATAATTATGTCATTTTTTATAGAATAAATATCATCTTATTATGGTCATCAAAATATGATCCTATTACGTTCCTATTTAAATCATTTTTAGCTCATTTTAAAACCATTTTGAGAGTATTTATGAGATAAGAAATGCAAAGAAGAAAAAATACGAAACAGCTCGTGCAGAGATTCGAACCCTAAAAGATCAGAAGTTTATGATGCAATCCAATACATCACACGGTTATACAAATATATATGTTTTTGTTCCTTCTGTTTTTTAATTTTCACTTTGAACTTTTAAAAAACTGGTAATTTTGATTAATTAGCCTCTAGTTTTTTCCACAAAAACTGTAGAGAGTTGAGCCTCGAGACTAATAGATAGTACACCTAATTTTTGACATTTTTCTACTTCTAGTCCCACCTTGGAAAGACACTTCCTTCATCGTGAAAAACGAAAAATAAAGTTTAAAAAGGGTTTTCGGGAGTCGGCTTCGGAGCAAAAAATATCAGAAATTAAGTTTACTATATTCTAGTCTCTAAGCTCAGCCCTGTACAGTGTTTGTGGAAAGTGGTAGAAGATAAACTCATTTTAGATCAGAAGTTAAAAATGACAGATAATTCTCGCATCTACGATCCTAGAGATATGATATAAAAATGATACATAAATAGATCATTTTTAAATGATCGTAATAGGATCATATTTAGATCATTCTTACAAATTATATCATATATACATCATTTTTATCTCATTTTATGAAATGTGCTTAAAATGACTCAAATACGATACCATTTTAAGCTCATATTTAAATCATTTTAGGATCATAATATGATCATTTTCACTGCATATCATAAATGAGCCATACATCTCTCATTTGTCTCATTTCCTGCGACCTGAAATTGTATAGTCGAAAATGTACACTGTCTTATAGTTAGAAGTTATAGATTTCTGATTGTAAAAAAACATCGATTTAACAATTACCCGTTGAAGAGCAAATATTTCTCAATACAGAAACACGATTTTCATCTCTGACAGATGATTGGATCAAAAATTAGGGTACTTCTATAAAAGGCCGTGAAATATCTACTGTAAACTAGCGCTACCATTTCTTAAACGCAACTTTTGCTTTTTTCAATTCACAGTTTCAGGTGAAGTTCTTCTATATATGTTCCACTTCATCGTACTTCAATAACTGGTCTTCTGTTTAGCTATGGTTTATTTCTTTTGCTTGACCATTTCCATAGCGCTTACAAGTTATATAATTCGTTACCTTTCAAACTGGATTCTATCTTTTTGGTTTCTCATATAAGTGAAAGAAAAACTCTGAAAAGTTCTCTTATAAAAATTTTATTCTGTAAAAATGACTTTCTTGTTCCAAGTTCACTTTCTTAAAATATGTCGCGACGCGAGTCTCTTTAAAAATTCGCGCCAGGATCGCACAACGCGTTCGCTGTAAGACTCGCTACCTACGACGCGATTTTTTCGCGCTCATACACAAATCGATGGTTCTCCAGTATTTTACTATAGTTACTATTTCTTCGCGTTTTCTGTCTAATATAAGTACATGAGCTACGCTACTTTTACCGCGAACGCAGACGAAGGGCGTACGCGCGACGCGACTACGCGAGACTATATTAGTCATATCATAAGCTATTAGTAAGATGTGATAAGATTTTGAAAACTTTTCGAAAATCAAGCAGACCTATATACCGGACGTACAAGCAAAACAAAACTGTAAGAGAAAATGCAACCTGACACGTTTTTCTTATAGCAATCGCTACGAAGTCCCTTTTGTCGCGGCGCGATCATGATGAACTCTGTTCAAAAATTTGTAATTCGCGATCGTGAAGCGTCAATAGCGACTGCCTAGTGTTCGCGGAGCGATTCCGCTATTCGAGCGCGATCAAGATAAGAAAAAAGCATCACGTTGCGATCGCGTCGCGATAATAGTGACTTCTTAGCAATCGCGGCACGAGTCGTGCGATTTTAGTGCGATCACGGACCATATCCTTGGGACCAAACGTTTTTGTTCCCGATCCCGGTTCGGTAGGAAGAACTTCTTTTTTGATCTCGGTGCCGTGGTCCCGTAAATACTTTTTCAAAGTAGCCCTTATAGTTTGAAAGTCAGCGCGTTTTAATTTGGCTCGTGGAAAAACATGCGTGGGTGGTATTAACTGAAGACTTTTAGAATTTTCTATGAGTCCTTTCTCGCAGAACTAGTGCCTACATACAAACAAGCACAGAAACTAAAAAATTTTTATGCTCCATACGAGACTATTTTCAGAAAAACTGAGTCCCGGTCGCATTACAAGTTCCGGATCATCCCGCAGACCTCCATCGCATTTATGACGTGAATAAAGCAAGAAAGTGGACTTGGACTTCATTTCCACATACACAAGAAATTTCTCCAATTAAGAAATAGATAGTCTAACGCTAAATTTTGTATGTTCAATCTAACGTTTAGGTATGCATAATGTTTCGCATTTGTTACCATACTCTTTAAAGGATTGCTTGTTATTAATTAAACCCGTATAGAAAAAAGCCTTTTTTATTGCTGACGAACGAATTCTCTTATGTGATAATCTACTTTCAACCGGAGTAACTTTCCAATTGTTTTCTTCTAGCCTGATAAAAAGTAGGAGGTAAAACTCCGACACTGAATAATAAAGCTCTTTTGAAGTCATAATGTGAAGAAAACGGTAAGCAGCTGGAAGTGATTCAGCACACGATATTCATTTACGGTATATAAGCCGAATAGGTTACAGACCCGATGAAACAAATTTGCAACCCAGTTTTCCTTTTCTGTTTGAGAAATTTAAATCCTGCAACTTATTTCAATATTAATTTTAGAAATACAACTTCTCTAAAATCTTTTGAATAAGATTATCAATTACATGTCTGCTGTGATTAACAGAAAATTCACCTATTTTCTGCTTTCTAATATGTTATTTTATATTACACTTTAAAAATTTCATAATCAAAAACTATTAAACTCGCTTAGACCGTTAAGAAAACTGCTGAGTTCATACGCTTTTGCATGATGTCTCTGAGACTTTTTATTAGTCCAACTTCACCAAATTTTTCTTTGTTACATTCCATCGTGAATCTTACCGTAGTTTATTGTCTTGGAAGAAGATGATGATCTGTACCACAGAAACAAGTGTATAGTTGTGTGTGTGTTGATTAAGAAGAGTTATATGTTATTACTAAAAGATGAAGAAAAGGTTATTCCAAAAAAAGAAATGTATCAATGACGATCACAAAATAATTATCTTCCTTTTTTGCTATCTTCTTCACAGAAAAAGAAGAATATATAACATATAAAGGCTAGATATAGTCACCTTGCGAATATTGTATATTCAGTTAAAGAAAAAATTTTCAGGATACTGTATATCATTGTGAATATGAAAAAAAACAGAAGAATTAATCACATATTCTCATGATCGTTTCCATTTAGATTAAAATCTATATATCTGTTCTATTGCGTGCGTATTCAACAACAGATGCGTGATATTTCCATTATTGGTGTTATTATTATTATTATTATGATATCTCCATGATCCTTCGTAACAAGTGATTGATATCTAAAAAAAATAGAATGAAAATAAGAATTGTTCCTTACGTTCCTTATTTACATTGTCTATTTTAACACATAGATGAATTTCAAGGCTATCGGGCTAAATGACAGCACTAGCCAGTATGTTTATATAATTTATACCACTAGAAATTTCTCTACAAATTTTATCTTTAATAATAGCACCGATATTTGGGTTCGATTGAGTTCAAAATAGTCACTTGCTATTGATTAACAATTGCTTTTTGTTCTTGTTTGATGACATTAAAAATAACTGATAATATACGAACCAAAAAAATACACAATGAGATCATAACAGCCTACACACGAGTAGTCTCTCGATGTTTTCTTCGATAATATTTTGCTATTTGATTCCATCCACACTATTAGGTCAACTATAGCTTGGTGGTGCAAAACTTGCCAAAATTGCTTAAAGTCGGTAGTACAAATTTAAAATGAGCAGAAGTCAGGTAAAGAGTAGATCAACAAAATAGAAAAATTGTCGAGATATTCAACATCTACTAAAGTCTTTCAAAAACTGAATTGCGAGTTTCGAGAAGAAAGACCTGTTTTGGGTGAAAAGTAACACTGTTTTGCACGTGGAAAAGCTCATCATTTAAAACAGACAACATATTCAGAGTCAACACGAACAACTGAGTAGAATAACGTATTTTTTAGTAGTGCATAAGTAAGTAGTGCCATGTGAGTCTGATATCAATAAAGTTCAAATTAGTACCAGCTGCACTGGCAATTTGGGTACCTAAGAACTTTGGTTGTCACAAACCACATATGTTTATGCCTTTGAGTTTAGTCTACTTTTTGATCATCACTCTATACCGAAAGGTAATGGGCTCTAACTAACTAAATAACAAGTATGTCTAAGTATCTATGACATTACTTGGATAGGTATCTAAATTTACTTGTTATATACTTCAATACTTGGCAGAGGCTGGCAGAGGTACTTAAAAAGAGACTTGAAGTTACCTAAATATATTTGCTTGCGGAAACCAAATACCTATGTTATTACGGTAGCAGGATAAAGTAGGTACTTACCGAGTAGGTGCCTGATTTTTGCACCTTCACTATGGATAGTAGCAAAATTTAAAAACAGAACATAAATGATTAATATGACTGGTTACTATCTTGCACGCTGTCTAGATTCCCAGTAAAAGCACCATAGTATACACTATAGCTTGTGTGGCAGCATAATATACAATAGAGCAATTTTATATACTTTAGTCAAGTAGAAATCAGTAAAGGATAAACATTTAAGTATTACAATGAATGAACTATGAATAATTTGTGTATTGTGACTAAATCTTAATTATGTTTCAGTCTGTCTATTCAAAAGTATCCATTTAATTTAGAACTGCATCATTATAGCGATGCTCTGATGTTTCATACAACTATAAGAATTCAATAACCATCAACTCTTTGTAAACTAACTGTGAGAAGATTACGAATCAAAAATTACTCAACTGCATAGTTAACATCATGACATATTTCTAAGACATCTATCATACATGAAACGATATTCGAGTCATCAAAAATGCACCAATGTACTAGATCGACACTTTGATATCCTGCTGTTCAACTGAAGCACATGTTAAGTGAGATAGAAAAAGTAACATGTGCGCGCTGTCGGAAATATTCATCATGTTGACATACATTTTATTTTTATTAACGTCATTTAACATGTATTATTTGCGTGAGCTGTTGTGATGCAGTTAGTAATATTTCCTCAAAACAGTAAAATTCTGTTTTTTTTTCAAGCTGTTTTAGATAAATCTGGACTTTTTAATCCACTTTTTACTTTACATCTGGACTCATTTAATCCAGAAACTGTTTCATTTAGGCAAAACTGGAAGTTATAAGAATAAGAGAAAGTTGTTTGCTTGAAACCGTCGGCAATTTCGCATTTTGTTCTATATATTTCTATTGTATATTCTAGATTAATAGAACACGAAGTTTTTCTTCCTCCTTTCTACATTACAGTATTGCAATGTATTAAAACAATACCATTAAATATGCTACAATTTTTCTTTATCTCTCTTCTTATCTTGTTGTTTCTCAGAAATACAAGTTAGACTTTTTTTTTGGAGTGGATGATAAGTTTCAGTACAGGAACAGGCTGATGTTTTGAAGAATAATAGTTAAAACTACTAGAATACAGTACTAAAACTACTATACATGACTATTTTTAAATAACTTTTGAACGATAGATAGTGATGATCTGCGGTTATTAGTATTGTGGAGAAAAATCTGGGGCTTTCGATGTATGTGAGAAGAAAAGTCCCAGCATTAATGTCTGTAGATGGTATACTTCTTGGATCTGTTTTTCAACTTCCTCCTATTCAACAAGTTTTTTATCGTAATATATAAGCTGAAAAGCCTCTACTGATTTATGCAAGCCCAAGGTCGCTATCACCAACTGAGCTAGCCATTCACCAACTCTTACAAGATTTATCAGAATATCAGCGGTTTTCACGTGTTTTACGCTAAAAATAGTCTTAAATGTTTTATTTTCTGGCCTTGTCCGTTCGTTGTCTAGTGACTCTTCTCTCTCTTCATTCAAGAGAATGGAAGGGCCCACTAGTTAGGCCGTGTACAGCATGCCTGTTGAGCATTGTCTGGGTGTTAGTTAATTCTTTCGGATATTAATGTAGATCCGATACAACGAAAAACTTTACTAGCACGATTATAAGGATACAGCTATCTTGCTCGGCCTTGCTTCTTGGCTTTCATTTTCATGACCAAGAAGCATACCGAGACGTATGCCGTCGACTGCACTGAATATCGTGACAATATGAGGACATCTTGGAGCGTGTACACATCTATAATCTTACATGTCGCTGATGTGCTCATTTTCGGTAACGCTCGTATCAGACTATCAAACGGCAATTTGAAAGACCAATCTGTACAACATAGTACTATCCTGAAAAGATATTTTATTATTTTTCTTCGACAACAAAAGATGTAGGTTAGAGCGGTAAAGTCAACAGAAAGCTTAGTGATGTTACAGACAAAATCGTAAATTTTCGGTTTTACTGGTCATTTTCGACTTGTGTTCAATGGAAATAATGAAAACGAAGTTGATTAGGTTCCTTTGTGCGTATAACTAAAACTTGGTCATTATTCATTAAAGCCATAGTCGCTACTTTATGCTCATAATCAACCTGATGTCTGATTTGACAATGTTTATCTACTATTATGAAGGCTGTTGTGGCGTCGCTTTGAATGGCTAGTAACCATTCATTATTTGGCAGAGCTACAATAATGTTTGAGAGAACGTCAAACTCTTGTAAATCGAGTCCTTTTTCAACTATTGTCATCGATGCTACCTCCCGCACTTCAAACCGATATTTATTTGTTAATCGAATCCCGACCATAATTGCTACTAAACTACCAGCGGGATTCAGTCGGATGCATCTAATAAACTCTTTTGTTCCCACAATCGTTTCCCATTTTTGTTGTATCAACCAGTCTGTGATCGACCACAGCTCGACTTCGCGATTAATTTCTAGAAGAAGGATATCTCGAGCACTTGTACAGCACGAATGCGCGTTAAGGCTCGTCCTTGGAACCTGTTTAATTTTTATTTCTGTTAAGAGAAAACTATCAATAGTGAATGCGCCTTCTCGAGTCCATATGAAAAATTGATCAAGCGCTGGACAAGAACATAAGTCTTCGATATAACCTCGTCGCCAGGGAATCATCTTTTTATTTGCTCCAGTTTGATCGACAAAGCACAATTGTGATTGCTCCCAATAAAGAACCGTTTGATCCGAAGCAACCATCGAATACCCATGTCCAATATCCACAATTTTTATTTTTTTAAATGTTCGACGAATATCAAATAAAGCCGGCTCTTGCTCAATTTGATCAATTACTAAAATACGATTGAAATCAATGTCTCGATGTTGGACTTGAATCACTATCGGTAAGGACTTATTTGCTGGTCGAGCTAGTTTAAAACGATCAATTGCCGTGCTCAATTTTTCAATGTCTTGCTCATTCGTAATAGCCTGTCGAAGCGGCTTGGTAAGATAGTCGTATTTTTCTCTCAGTTTTACTCTATTTTCATCTATAAGTGCTTGAACGTCCGAACGAGCTTTATCAGCCGCTTGTGTAATCATCTTAATCATTTCCTGTTCCCATCGCCTAATATGTTCGAATGCATGCTCTCCATTGGTATTCGTATTTATTTCTGAATTTATTTTATATTTTTAAGATTAGTATTTTTTGTTTAAAAACAATACTGGCTTTTCGTAATCATGGCTTACCTACGTTCTATTGTTTCGTCTACGTGTATGTATGTAGGTACTACGAAATAAGAGAATAAAATGGTGCGAT